GTGCTGGTGTGGCGACTCTAGCACGGGACTTATGCAGGACTTGTGTGGGTCTGTCTGGGCTCCCTCACCAGATTAAGGTGTGCTTTCCTAGCACAACGGCTGCACAGGTAATGCATGTCCTTCTACGCATCTCTCTGTCTGTCTAAAGGCTTAGCATTTAGAAACTGTTGGTCAGCTATGGTGGCTTTGATGTCTGGGGTACAGCATGTCTGCCAGAGCACTCTGCCACCAGTTAACTAAGAAGTGATTCAGAGTCGGACCACTTCTGCAGCCTGTGACACACAACCTTACATCTGAGTACCACCTCAGAGTTAGTTACTACCCTGGGGGTTTGCAAAATGATGATTTTGTCATTGTCATTCCTGCCATGAGACATGAGGATGAGATCTTTGGTTTTTCTCCTGCCAGGGCAGAGTAAGCCTGACTCACAGCAGGGTGTGGCTTTCACCCTCAGGCAAGCACCCTCCAGGCTGGGCTGCCCAGGACAATGGCCCCTACAGCTCCCAGCCTCAGGCACCCATGCTTACGTGGAGAAGCAGTGGTTGTCATGTGCTTGCATGGCAGCTTCATCCAAGTAAGGCTCAATCCTGGGGTGGCTGTTGTTGTTGTTAAGGCCCTTGAGGCCAAGATAGGCAGCCTGCACAGTTTCCAGGTCCTCGCCTCTAAGCTGGTACCACAGCTGGGTTGTCCTGGATGAGAGAGTAAAGGGCACTCAACACACAGCAGTGGACAGACTAGGCAGTCTCTGCACAACTACTCAACTCAGTGCTGTAACACAAGAGCATATAGACAGTATGTAAACCAAGGAACATGACTGTGTTCCAATAAAACTTTATTTATGAAAACAGGCAGTGGGCTGGATTCCTCCTGTGAACTGGGGCTAACCATCCCTAGTGAAGTATGTGGGCATTCAAAGCACCTAAATGAACCTAACCCAATGGATGCAGATGGTACGTGTGCACGGGTTGGAGGATAATAAACAACTAACTGTGCACTCCAGTGACACAGGGCTACGACTTAGAGTTTTACTCATTGCTCAGGACTGCTCTATGATCTCACCACACACGTGCATGTTCCTAAAGAAGGTGCCTTGTTTCTGTGCTCACCAGCAGCCAGCCACGCCACGTAGGGTGGCTGGTACCCCAAGGACAACGTGGTACCAACCCTGCCAGCTGCAATAACACAGAACCCAATTCTGCCAGCTTAGAACTAGATGCTACCCACTGGAATAATGATTCTCTTAGGCACTCCCTCCAGGCCAGCAGCTCAGCAGGGATGGGCAACCCATGGGGCTCTCTTACCTAGAAACCAACAAGATCCAACACACAACCCTAGAACTCACATATAGAACATTTTCCATGGTAAATCATATGTTAATCCATATGCATATGATCTACCAGACAGGGCCAGTACATGTCTTGTAACATACTCTTTTCCCACATCTTCACTCCCGGAAGCATGGGCACCAAGAGGACAGCAGGATTCGCGCCTACAGGCCCATATTCCACATGGAGGACCCAAGGTCTAGAGATCAGGAGCCATCCTCACAGCTCTCCCCACCCTCACCCTGCGGGCCAGCCATACCTGTGTGAGTGGCGCGGCTCTGTACGTTTCACGCACTTCATTAGGCAGCAGGTGAGGAAGGCCATGGACATCAGCAGGATGATGGCACAGCTGACAATGGAGGCAATCACAGCCACCCTGAAGCCAAAAGTTTCGTATGGGGGCACAGCTGTGAGAGAAACATAGACCAACTCTTGGGTGGGTTTGCTCAAGCCCCATGGGCCCCAGGGATCCGATCCAGCCTGGCCTCAGGGATCCCATTCTGAGGCCATGGTGAAGATGTATGCAAATTCTTGTGGGTAGGGCTATCAGGAAAGATTTCCCCCAGAGGGACCAATCAGGGAGGATTTTAGGAGGTTGTGTAGGAGTCTACAGAGTGGAAAACAGGAAAGAAACTCTAATGGTAAGTCAGAGTGATGGCCTTACTTGTTCCCACCAACTAGAACCCTAGCTGAGAAGCAGAGGAAAAATAGGGCTGCCAAGACCAGATGACAGCAGCCGCTAACCTTGGCAAGGACTTGCCCAGCCCAGGGTCTGAGTTTTCAATACTTTGAACTGGTCTACATGCCTCCTTAAGACCCTTTCTTGTTGTTGTTGTTGTTGTCAGGTACCATCAAGTTGGAACCGACTCATAGCGACCCCATGCACAGCAGAACGAAACAATGTCCGATCCTGGGCCAACCTCACTACCCCTGCCACACCTGACACCATCAATGATGCCACCTGGCAGATTCATCTCATTGGGGGTCTTCCTCTTTTTCTCTGAACCTCCATCTTACACAGCATGACATCCTTCTCCAGTGACTGTTCCCTCCTGACAATATGTCCAAAGTATAAGAGACAAAGTTTGGCCATCTTGGCCTCCAAGGAGCACTCTGGCTGTACTTCTTCCAGAACAGATCTATTGGTTCTTTTGGCAGTCCATGGCACTTTTAGCATTCTCCTCCAACACCACAACTCAAAGGCATCAATTCTTCTATGATCATCCTTAGTTACTGTCCAGCTTTCGCATCCATATGAGGTTACTGAAAATATCATAGCTTGGGTCAGGCGCACCTTAGTCCTCAAGCTGACATCTCTGCTCTTCAACATTTTAAAAGTTCCTGTGCAACAGATTTGCCCAATGCAATACGTCGTCTGATCTCTTGACTGCTGCTTCCGTGAGTGTTGATAGTTGAACCAAGAAGAATGAAGTCCTTGACAACTTCAATCTTTTCTCTGTTGATAAGAATGTTGTTTATTGGTCCAGTGGTGAGGATTTTTGTTTTCCTGACATTGAGATGCAATCCATACCAAAGGTTGTGCTCTTTGATCTTCATCAGTAAATGTTTCAAGTCCTCTTCACTTTTAGCAAGCAAGGTTGTATCATCTGCATATCGCAGGTTGTTAATGAGTCTTCCTCCAATCCTGATGCCATGTTTTTCTTCATAGAACCCAGCTTTTTGGATTATTTGCTCAGCATACAGGTTGAATAAGTATGGTGAAAGAATGCAACCTTGTCGTACACCTTTCCCAATTTTAAAACATTCAGTGTTCCCATGCTCTGTTCGACCCTTTCTAGGAAGGAACAAAACCAAGAAAATGCCTAGTCTGTTTGGTGAAAAGTCAATGGTTTAAAAAGCCTAGCTTTGCCATGGATCAACTGTGTTGTCTCAGCTATATGTTAACAATGGTCTGTTTGGTTCTAATTAGAGCAATACCGTATATTCTATCCTTAGTTGTAAGTACTGCTTATGTCTTCCAACATTTGTTATCAAGCAATCAGGATGAAGACTACATTTCCCAGTCTCCCTTGTAGCAGCATATGGCCACATGAGCATGTTCTGACCAATAGGATAAAAGAAGAAGTGATGTGGAACAACTTTCAAAGACCTTCCTCAAGACATTGGCAAGTGTTCTTTGGTGGCATCCAGTTCCTAGGAACTGTAACACAGATGCTGCCATCTTGGAGCACAAAGTTGCAGACACACCCAATAGAGCCACAAGATAAAAGGGAAGAGGCCTGAGTCCCTATCTCTGTGGAGTACCCTAGGAGCCTAGGACTGCCTATCCTGACTTTATAGGTACTAGAGGTTTCAAGTTTAACCCCCTATTCTTTGGGGTTCTGTGTCTCTTGGAATAATGCTAACAGGCTCCCCATTCTCAGAGATTTATTCAGCACACAAGCATTTCAAAGGCTCTGAGAATCCAGCAGACTGTAAGCCCAGCATTTTCTGTACTATGAAGTCCTCCTGGTGTGGTGCTGTGGGTTTATGCGCTGGACTGCAAAGTTGGTTTGAACCGCAAGGTCTGTGGTTCACGCTCAGTAGCCGCTCTTTGAAAATCCTATACCAGGTCCCTATGGGGTCAATACTGATTCGATGGCACTTAACAATAACAACAACAACACATTAAAGGATCAAGGACTCACTTTGAAAAATGCTGTGGTAGACACTCAACAGTTACTATCTCATTTAACCCCTCAATACCCTGAAAAAAAAAACAAAAACACACCAAAAAACACACAAGACTCCAAACCGGTTACCATCAAGTCAATTCTGACTCGTAATAATGTTAAAGGACAGAGTAGAACTGCCCCATAGGGCTTCCAAGGTTGTAAATATTTACGGAAACTGACTGTCACATTTTTCTCCTGAGGAGCAGCTGCTGGGTTTCAACCACCAACCTTTCAAGTTAGCAGTCAAGCACATAACTACTGTGCCACCAGGGCTCCAACACTCTGAACAATAACTAGAAAAACTAGAAAACCATCTCCTCCCCCCAGACTGAGAAGTGCAGTACCTAGACACAGTATGGCCCTTTGTGTCACCAGCCCTAGAATTCTTGGTAAGTGGAATATCCTAATGAGCGTTTGTTGCAAGCAAGAGCCAAGTAATGGATGAGCAAATGTTAGCTTCCCCACTTGCCAGATGACAGAGTTCAAGTCCAGACAGTACCAGTGACCTCTTAAAAGAGATGGGGGAGGTCAGAGGCAGAGCGAGGATTTGAAGCCATTGCTGGTTGTAAATCTGTGAGGTTTTCATCACCCTGCACATGTGCCATTCTGTTATACAAAGGTCACAGCCAAACTCAACATCGGCCTGGGGGTGTGATTCTACATAGAAGTCCGGTCTTTGCCTACATATCCCCTGCTCTTCAGTGAGCACACATAGTCATACTGTGGAGGGGACGTGAAACCAACCACCCAGGGGTAGTTACTAAGTGGGTCTTACGTTTGCATGTAGGTATCCCTGATGACCACTCAGTGATATTCCCCTTCCAGATGCAGGTCACAAGGCCAGTTCCCCCCATCTGGTGGCCAGAGGGACAGTTGAACAGCATCACTGTCCCCACGGATGTTCCATTGCCATGGAGGACCTGGAAGGATCCCTTCAGGGGTGGCTTCACTTTACTACAGGTGCCTAGAGAGGAAGAGACAGTTATAAGGACCTGCCTTGGAAGCGCTTCAAGGCAGAGACCCAAGTCAGCCAAGACCCTGAACAAGAGCTGGTAAGTGCTGATACTGCCAAGCTGCTGTGTCCCAGGGCTGGTCCGCAGATGGTATCATACTGTTGGAGAGACTCCACAGAGGCCACCACAGGTCAACAGAAGAAGCAGGCACTCCACCAGCACTAGGAACAATCCCCTGGGAAAGTGGCAGTCAGAAGACAGTTGTTGCTGGTTGTCAAGTCACTTCTGACTCTGGTGACCCCATATGTGTTGAGTGGAGCTATGCAGCATTGATTTCAAGGCTTTGACCTTTGGAAACAGTCTGCCAGCCCTGCCTCCGAACGTGCCTGAGGTGAGTTCCAATATCCAACCTTTAGTGGAATATTTACCCATTTGTACCAACTAGAGACTTCTTAGAAGATTAAGGTGTTAATAAAAGAAACCAAGTAAGTGTTCAAAAAAAAAATAAAAGCAAATATGCAAACATTTATATAATAACTTTCTAACTATGGCTCCAAAGGAAGATGTCATTAACAACAACAACAAAAAGTATGAAGAAGTGATGGAATACATGAAAAAAACAAAAACAAAAAAAAACTTCTGTGACATTTTTTATAACAACTTAGATTCTAAAGTTAGAAAAATATGAAAAACATAGGCCAAAGTTTCAGAAGTCATAATTTATAAAGAGTTCGTATGTATCAATGAAAATGAACAGTCAAAGAGATTAATGGACTAAATGAATGAGCAGAAAATCTACAGAATAAATACAAATAGGAGAAGTGGCACCTGGGGTGGGCTTGGGGGGCAGGAAGCAGCAGGGAAGGGGATCCTGTCACCTTGGACAAAAAGGTGTTCAACAAGGAGCTGGACCTGTGGGTCAAGCAGCTGAAGGAGTATAAACAACTTAAATAGACCCAAGCGTGAATCCTGTATGAAAAGGCTAAGGGAAGTTTTAACAAAAGAATAAAATGTACAAGCTGTTTGTTGTCCTGCTACTATTTGTGAAGATGTTTTTTTTGTGCCACTGAGTTGGCTCTGACTCATAGCGACCCTGTATAGGGTTTCTGAGGCAGTAAATCTTTTTGCTAGAGGAAAGCTTCATCTTTCTCCTGTGGACGGACTGGTAGATTCAAAATACTGACCCTGTGGTTGGCAGCTCAGTTCATAATCCATTATACTATCAGAGCTCCTATGTATATGTGGACAGCATATATATATATATATTTTTTTTTTTTTCTTTTTTTTAAAGCAATAGTAATGTATGTCTTTCTATAGCAAACTAGGATCTGTCTTGGCATTAAACTACATTATGGACCTAACTGTGTGGTGATAATGATGAACAATTTGTTGTTGTTGTTGTTGTTAGGTGCCATCGAGTCGGAACCGACTCATAGCGACCCCATTCACAGCAGAATGAAACAATGTCTGATCCTGGGCCAACCTCACTACCGCTGCCACACTTAACGTCATCAATGCTGCTACCTGGCCAATCCAGCTCGTTGGGGGTCTTCCTCTTTTTCTCCTGACCCTCCATCTTACCAAGCATGATATCCTTCTCCAACGACTGTTCCCTCCTGACACTATGTCCAAAGTATGAGAGACAAAGTTTGGCCATCTTGGCCTCTAAGGAGCACTCTGGCTGCACTTCTTCCAAAACAGATCTATTGGTTCTTTTGGCAGCCCATGACACTTTTAGTATTCTCCTCCAACACCATAATTCAAAGGCACCAATTCTTCTACGGTCTTCCTTATTCACTGTCTAGCTTTCGCATCCATATGAAGTTATTGAAAATACCATGGCTTGGGTCAGGCGCACCTTAGTCCTCAAGCTGACATTTTTGCTCTTCAACACTTTAAAAACTTCCTGTGCAGCAGATTTGTCTAATGCAATACGTCGTCTGATCTCTTGACTGCTGCTTCCGTGAGTGTTAATAGTAGATCCAAGAAGAATGAAGTCCTTGACAACTTCAATCTTTTCTCCGTTGATAAGAATGTTGTTTATTGGTCCAGTGGTGAGGATTTTTGTTTTCCTGACATTGAGATGTAATCCATACTGAAGGCTGTGCTCTTTGATCTTCATCAGTAAATGTTTCAAGTCCTCTTCACTTTCAGCAAGCAAGGTTGTATCATCTGCATATCGCAGGTTGTTAATGAGTCTTTCTCCAATTCTGATGCCACGTTTTTCTTCATAGAACCCAGCTTCTCGTATTATTTGCTCAGCATACAGGTTGAATAAGTAAGGTGAAAGAATGCAACCTTGTCGTATACCTTTCTTAATTTTAAAACATTTAGTGTTCCCATGCTCTGAACAATTAGCCCAGTGAAATTCAGTACACATTATGTTCTAGATCAGTCACTCTAACAGTTTGCCTGTTGTATTTGTAAATAACTATTTTCCTCTGAACTGTTCAAACAAAATCCTTCATCTCCTTTGCACTTAGTTGAGATTTTAGCTATAGTGTGTTAACTGGCATGGATTATTAAAGTTGGAATTTTATTTTAAGGAAAATTTATAAGCTAGCTCCCACTTAATCTATTACTTTTTACTTTATTAAAATGTATAATCAACTAAAGAAAAGATTGTTCTTGGAAGTATGTTGTCATTAACATTTAAAGGAATTTCCCTTTATTTAAACTAAATTACTGTTTTATGTTGATCTGCATATTTGTCAAAGCATATAAACTCCCTTTCAAATAAACAAAAGAAATACAGAATGCCAACAGGCATGAAAAGATGCAGTTGCACTCATAGTAACGGCACCACACCCCTACACTGCCACCATGTAGACTGACTTACAGGGACCCTATAGGATAGAGTGGGAACATGGTGACTCCATGCAATAAGCACTGAACTATGAACAACAAGGTCCACAGTTAGGCCTACCAGCCACTCCACAGGGAAATGATGAGGCTTTCTGCTCCCATAAAAAAGATTTAAAGTCTAGGAAACTCTACACGGAGTCTTGGTGTGTTGCTATGAGCTAATGTGCTGGACTGCAAAGTGGGTTTGAACCACAAGGTCAGTGGTTGAATGAAGCTCAGCAGCCACTCCTTGGAAACCCTATACAGGACTGTTACACGTTGGAAGCGACTCAACGGCACTAACACCACCACCACCAAACCCTATACAGCTCGCTATGAGTTGAAACCAGCTCCATGGCACTTACCACTATAGGACAGAGTAGAACTGTTCCATAGAGTTTCCAAGACTATATATAGTCCTTATGGGAACAAGCTGCTTCAACTTTCTCCCAGCTGACAGATTTGAACCACCAACCTTGCAGTTAGCAGCCCAACACTTAACTCACTGTACCACTAGGCCTTTTTGTAATTGCAGGACTGTGAATTAAAATGATGACAGCTATACTCTGAGTCACCTATTTGGCAAAGGCTACAAGAAAACAACGATAATATGCAATGTCGGTTAAGATCTTGGCGAGTGGAGACCCTCTCAGATTTGGCTGGTAGGTGTACAGATAAAACTTTTCTGGATAGACTTTGGTGAAAGTATTAACAGCCTCAAATTGTGTATGCATGTGATTCAGGCAATGAAAATAATTAAGAATCTTCTGCAAAAATGTATATACCAGAATGTTCACCTTAGAGCTATTTACAATAATACAAAGTTAGAAATTACCCCATGCTCATTAGTAAGGTATTGGTGTAGTAAATAAAGGTACATTCAGACAACAAAATGCCACAATGTTATAACATTGATACTGTCCTTAAATAAGGACAAAGAGAGCTGTTCCTAATACAACATGTTGTTGTTAAGTGCCCTCAAGCCAGTTCCAACTCATAGCCACCCTCTATAGGATTTCCAAGACTAAATTGTTGCAGGAGCAGAAAGCCTCATCTTTCTCCCGCTGAGTGGCTAGAGGGCTCAAAACACTGATCTTGTGACTGGCAGTCCAGTGTTTATCATACAGAGTCATTGTGTGTCCATAAGCCACAAGAATTTTACGGAAATGAAAAGGACAGTACCTGGCACTTATACAGAAGTTACTGAGCACAGACTGCCATTCTATAGCTTTTCACGTATTTACTAATTTACAGAATAGACTGCTGAAGGAGAACTATTATTATCCCCACTTGTCAGATAGGCAAACTGAGGCAAAGGATGGTGAAGTCACTTCCCAAGGTCACAGAGACTCAGACCCCAGTCTGTCTACTTCACTCACTCACTTACTCTCACTTACTCTCACACACACACGCACACACATCCACACACACACACCACTTCATATCTTTTAGCTATCTGGTGTCTCTCACTCAGCACACTCATTGGAGGGAGCTGTCATGTTGTCCACGTGTCAGTAGTAGCTTTTCCTGTGCCAGAGCAGTGTGCCAAGGCTCCACTCCCTGCTGACGGGCACCTACAAGGCTTCCAGTTTTGGAGGCTGCTGATGAAGCTGCTGTGAGCATTTTTAAACTTGACTCCTAATGCCCAATGCAAGATGTTCTTTCTTCTGCTCTTCCAGTATTTCTGATTTTCGAATGTCTACTTCTGTGCTCATAGCAAAAATGGATTCTCAGGCAGCCCTATGTTAAAAGGGGGATATGAGACTCTTAAGTGCTGGAACCTGAGTCCTTTTGTACAGATGAGAGGCCCAAGACTCAGAGATTGGTGTGGCAGGTGGGTGGATGCAAGGTTCTGAGTCTGACTGCCCCCTTCTTCCACGTGGATTTGACACAACCATTCACAGACTCTCTGCACTTGATGTCTCCAGCTAGGATCCCCCTGAGTGCCAGGCCTGGTTGTCCAACTGCCCACTCAATCTGATGCGACCCTAATGATTTCACCTGCCTCACCTGCTCTGCATACAGCCTTCTCCATTACAACTAGTGGCTCAGGCCACTAGATGAACCTATCTAGATTCTGTTTTTTCAGTCTTCAACCAATTAATCAGCAAACTCTGTGGGCTCTGATTTCAAAATAGATGCCCAAGATGCAACTATTGGTCCCTCCCCTCCTGGAGCAAAAAAGAGTGAAGAAAGTCAAAGATACATA